CGAGTTGTGTTTCCGTTTACGTGGCGCGATTACTAGTATTTCGTCCGTCTTTCCCTCTTTACATACATCAATATTGAATGAAAGATATCAAGGATCGTGTTAGCCAGGTGAATCACCTAGTCCTCGTACCTGGTTGGTTGGTATGATGCCGGCACTGAATAACTATCACACTATAATATGGTATAAATATTGTGTGACGAATTTTCACTGAAATATGTAGGAAATAAGCCAGGATGATTTTCTAAAATATATGCACATGATGACAGTTGTTTGAGAAAGATGAATTCATATTTTCCCATCTATTCTCTATCAACTTGTTATTTGTGGCAAAATCATACTACTTCTCAATAATAAGCAGTATGAGCTATATCTTGTTGAATCCTTCGTAACTCCAAATCCACAACTATCGTTCATTATTCAGATTCATGTCATTTATGTACAAACATTTTAACTGAATTTTGGAATAGACTTCGAACAGTCAAATGCTATTTCCTGCCAGTTACTTCTTTATATTCTACTGTTATTTGAACGTTGTTTATCTGGCCCTCTTTTTTCTTGACATTCATGTTCATCCATCGTTTGTTTCTACAAAAGGATAATCCTTAACACAGTTCTACTTCCTTTTGATGCACAGTAACAGTGCATTTGACTGCGAACAGTCTAGATACTTCGTAATATTTGGTTCGTAGATTCTTTATAATCAGTTGACATGTAGAATAGTACCATGTGTAGAATTATCCTGTGTCTTTGAATTTACGAGTAAATGAAACTTTTGTTATATTTCATAGGAAGTTTGATTATAAAATATCCTTCGGGATCTCTAAGATGAAATCCTGATTTTTCCCCCACGTTTCTGAAAATCTAAATATACTAGAATTACAAATAATTTGTTTGAATTGAAATATGAAATATATGAAACCTTTGAGCCACTAATACGACATAATTCGTGAGAAAAAACCCTTTAATAGTCAAGTTAGCTGACTATTCCTTTATGTTGTATACCGACATCTTACTTGAATGTGTATCAAACTTCACAATGAATGCACATAATCTCATGATTTCGAAAAAAGTTATATCATATGAACTGTGATAACACTGAGACATAGAACGGAATATGATCACTAAGTATATTCAATATAGATTTCGATAACCATCCAAAAAGTCCAGCTATATATATACCAATTAACGTGAATGTTTTCTGAAGAGTGTATTTCTGAAACCAGGATTTACTTCAGGTGAGTGAGCTACTGTCATATCTTCTCTGGTATTTGTGTTTGAATTGACTAATTCTTGAGTTTACTCAAAGATGGATGGATAGATGGTGTTGGTTATCTTTATCTCATGTTGATCATACTAGGGTGATTTATTCTTTTCACTTGACGAATACTATCGTTCAGAAGAAGGTGGTTTTCATCGTTATGCAGTAGGGTTCATGCATTTGATCAAAAGGAGGAGAACACGTCATTTCAACTCATTACTCACGGAGGTAATAAGTATGCGCCTGGCATTCATATTTATAATTCGTGTAATTGTAATGCGTTATCTTCTAACGTTTTATGTGCTGATGGTGGATTTGTTTCCAATTTTCACTTGTTTCGTCCTTACAGAAGTCAAATATCATGTATTGTTTCGTCACCATTGCTTTGGTTTATTCACAACGCAATGAAACTTTTACTCACGTTTAGCGGTTTGTGGAGATTTATTTATCCATGTCGAAACTCACAAACAACTGGAAACGTCTAATTTTACTTGTCTACCAACGTTTACTTGTGAAAAAATATAATCACGAAATGAATGACCTAATTTTCATCATATCGCTGAGGCAAATTTGGAAAATATAACTTTACGGGGCTTATGTCGAACTTCATTCATCGTCTTCATTCGCATATTATTACATTCCTTTCATTCCGTTTTCATTTCTACGTTTATTCACATATTTCGAAATATTTCATGATGGTGGATTCAGTTGCATCCAGTGTCCTTACGAAAATTAAGGGCCGCGGACTAAAAAAACAATTCACAATTACTACATTTCGGTAAGAGTGGCATGATTTTTCATATAAACCATTTTGTTATTAGTTATTAATCGACACAATGCTCATGACATTGATGATATTTGGGCTGGCGGTGATGTTTGCCTTTAAGTAAGGCTGCATCAAAGGAGAAAATAAAATCGTATCTTGCGTTTCAGAGAAAATATTTCCGGATTTTTCACGAGGATCCACTATCTGGGTTGCATTGTTATGTTAGTCTCCTATACAACTGATAACTGAACTTATTATTCTTTCAATAAATGACAAGTGTAATTTTACTTACAGTACAATGGCATTATTTATTTATCTAAGAGGTGTGCTTTCTGAACTAATAGCAAACGTTACTTCTACCAGGATTAAAATCTGTCAGTAAAGTAGGCGAGGTTATAGAGTGCGTCAATTTGAAATTGATTTCGAGATTGGAGATCTTTCCACCACTGTGACACTGACCCACAAGATATTTGATTTACTGCTGATTAGAAGTGTTTGAATACGCAGTTGTGTTCCTTAACACACAAACACTGGAATTATATGATGTGGTGACGAGCATCATGTTAGTTGCACGTTAAGATTTTCGTTTTATTTTGAGGTCTACCTTAGCGAATGCTGCTCAGACATTTTGTTGTCATTGAAGTGAATTTCTTCTTACTATCGGATTACTTGATTTTACATAACCGTGGCACATTATGCCATTTGCCATAATGTTCCTGTAATTTTACTTAGTGAATTCAACACTTACTTCCAATTACTTCAATAAACATATGAAGACAAAGATACATGGATAAAAGAACTGAATCTTCCGAATAGTTGAAAATCGAAATTGAATCTTAGTGTCTGATTTCAAAGCGGACGGAAAAATTAAAACACGAATTCCCTTGATCTGCATTGGTCGACACAGTCGATTTGGAATCTGCTGTAAAAATATTTCACTCCACGTGTTATGACCCAATTTCCCTGACAAATCATGCGTGGACTATTCACTAATAAGTAGATATTGCTAGATAGGAAACTAACGATGTAATACAAAACACATTTCTTTCTTCTTTGGAACGAGTTTCTAACTTCACTCCCAACCTTCACCCCTTATATGGCTTACCACCAGGTGAGCGAGGTTTAGGAGTGTATCAGTCGGGCACCGAACTCTGAACCACTAAAGTCGCTGGCGAGTATTCTGTGGCTAAGTCAACAGCACACCATACCTTAGTTTAAAGTTGATAATTTTGTACTATATGTTCCTCCACGTTCACCTCATTATGGTGGAAAAGAGCTATATATTCGTGCAAAATATGGTAAATTTATTCATCTTCAACGAAATTGCGAATATTTCATGTCATTTTTGTTTGTAACTGAAGACTCTATATAAATCCCGCATGTTAATTTAATTATGCCACATTGATATGTAGTTCCACCTAATTCGAATGATGACAATAACTGCGTCAATTAACCCTCATTCTTTACTTCGGAATATACGAACATCTTCGTGTGCTCCAGAAGAAATCAGTGAAGTGTAAAAAGTGGTGTCGAACGAACAATGATATCAGACTTGATGTCATTACTTGAACCCTCCAATCATTCAAATCTTCATATGTTCATTCAAGTAAGGGACAATAATTGTTGAATTCCGAAAATAAATGTTGGTGCATTCGGCTATTCACGAGACGGAAAAAGTGTGCTGATCAGTGGAGAATAGTGAAGTATTGTGATCAGATCATCTTTGAAATTTTTAACATATCATACTTCACTTTCGCAGTACCGCTCATTACGTTCTTCAAGTTAGACAGTGTTCACGGTATTTAAAACGGCTTCATATTTCTGCAGTGTTCATTCTTCAGTCAACTAAATCCACCGTCTCATAGTGAACATATCCATGATTGTAAATTGACCAGGTAAACAAAACGATGACTTCAATCCAGTAACTTCACATTCAACGACTAATACCATGCTTGTAAATTAAACCTAAACTCCATGACTTCAAATGAATTTGCCATCTATCCTCCAACTTATTCTAGCTTCATGTGAAATCTAGAATATTCTCACTATAACTATTCCACCGGAATAATCTTTTTGACTTGTGAAAATGTCAGTAGACAGAGAACACTTTTAGCATGAGATGAAATATGTCAAAGCCTACCTTTATAATAAAGGAGTCGATATATCATTAACAGGTTCCGAGGAATGTCTACGTGAACCACACATCTCTATCGTTTATGTAACTATACATAATGTGATAAGGTCACAAGTGTATGCGTTTACCGAGTAGAAGATCATTCGGTGACCTCGTATTTTCACTGATTCGGATATTTACAGCAATTTCGTCGCTCCACACACACAATACACATGGTTCATTTCATAACGGGAAACCACTTTTAAATATGAGAAAACAGAAGACAGTGTCAAAAGAAAGAACTATCTCTTACGTGATTCACTTATTTCCGTGATGTTCAACAAACCTGACACGCTTCCGCATTAATTGTCCTTGACTAATATACATTGTCTGCGATTATGGATCTTAATTCTTCGCTTTCAGTGGCATGCCTAATGATTCTTGTGACACACTGGACTGAAAACCAAAATATTTCTCCCATGGTGTCAACTGAAACAGTTGTGCCATCTCATCAATCAACCACCTTCACAAACTGACAAATCATTCGTCGTGCTGTGAAAGAAATATTGGCACTTATATTTCATTGTATTCGATGAAGTTGACGGTTCTCCAGAAAAGAAAAAACGTAAACACATGAGAATGCATGTATATACTAACTCATACAAAATTAGACTTTTAGGCACAGTAGTAAAACGATGATGCATGTTCAACGAAAATAATCTGGAAACTATTCCACAAATAACTGATTCCTGTCTTCGTTAACACACCATTAAAATCCACATGATGTCAAGCCTTCATATGTTTGTGTGAAGAGGTTTAACACTAAGAACCAAACAATGAAAGCAAGAATGAATTCTGTGGAGTTAGGCGGGAACCACCACGTTATCCATCTTCGCATATTGACGCAAATGAACATCATCTAGAGTGAAAAGAAGTAATACCTTGTAAGTGAAAACAGACAACATTTCGTTGCTAAAAAGTTTCAGGAAATTCACATTCCACAGTAAAATACTGTTAATTCTTATAACCACATAACACTAATCAAACATATTTTATAAAAAGCATTCACTTCGCCTCATATCCTGCGAATACATTTCACAAAATCATAATCAACATCCAGACTGCGCTCGGAGCAACTGATGTGGACCCTAGTTTGAGTAGAATGATTGTCTGAATAATTCACACTTTTCGCCTGCATCTGGAAATGTGAACACTTTACATTATGCTAGTCAGTTTGACGGAGTTTCAGATTTTGGTTGGTTAGTGTTGTCTTTTTGTCATTTAACCTGTTTGATATATCTTCACCTGACACACTCCCAGAACATCAACTTCACATAAATCACTCTATCGTAAATGACTCTGATTGAAATAATCAATAAGATATATTTGTACTCGTCGCTTCTCTGATAGTATTACTTCACTACACTCATATTGCACCAGATTTTTCGTTCAGATCTGCAGATAGAAAGTATCATTATCCTTTCCGGGTCCAAAGGAACACATGTGAACATCAGGATCATAAGCTTTCATCAAGTAACCAGTTCAATTGATTAGTTTAGTCTCAAATGTTGCTTCATCGCCGCAATTCTAGTGTCTCACATTGGATAACCGCAGGTTAACCATATACATCAGATGGTGTAAGTCCTACTGAAATTGGCTTATTAGCATGTTTCCGCATTTTGTATCAACAGCAAACATGTGAAAATCAGCGTTAAATGTAACTAACAACGATTTACAAAAATTTCTTAATAAGCAAAACCTTATTTACTAATGGTCTGATTGCATTCACTAGTAATGCTAGTCACAATGCTTCATAAACACTGACGTTCCAGTATTATAAAGCGCATGATGTGCTGTGCACAAAAGGATTCCAAGATGGTTCACCCATTGACTGAGTGTTCGTTTTCAGGAGAACCAAACAAACCTATCCCTGCTCTCGCGAGAGGAGACCGGCATGCACGATCATCCTGTGGTGCAGCCACTCATACTTATATCAATACGACTGCAAGGGTTATTGTGCTGAATACACTAATGAAATCAAAGACTTACGGCGAGTATGAGTATTGCGATTAAAACTACTGTGAGTATGCAGAATACCTGAATTTCAGAAATACAGAAAACAAGGAGAAAATTCACAAAGAATATACAAAAGTTTTGCTTAGAAGTGTGAATTAAAATACTGCGATACTAAACAAAATATTCACTGCTTACATGTAGACAATTAAAGATATCAAAATAACTTCAAACATCTTTCGATAAACTGATGGAGATTCGTAATCCATATGAAATACTAAGAATGCTTTCGAGTAAGAACTGTGAACGTTCTCATGCTGAATAGAGTGGATCAAAAATCATTGATTTTATGAATGAATCTGGAAGTATATCACCGTCTGTCGAATAACTGCACAAAATTTACTAACCGTATCTACCAACCTGCTTCTAATCAAACATCCTCAGTAAATAAATAACTACTTAGACTGAGAACAAATTTCAATAGTTCGTACGGAATCAATTTACTGTCAGTGATCAACTTAAACATTCCTAGAGAAACGAATAAATTTAATCACCGACATGTGAAAGGGAACTTGAATCTAAGTAAGGTAAACAGCTAATATGTCTGATTTCCTGTGCTCAGCTGACATTTCATTGTCTTTTGTATATAGCCCTGTTACGAAGAAAACCGTAGGCAACAGAGGACCTTAAAATGATTTTGAGATTTTGTTAGATTTCATAAATAAATGTGTAAATCTTTACAACTGAAATTTCTGTAATTTACGCGTTTTTGTCCTGGGATTAAGTGAAAGCAAATCCTCATAGCGATAGCTGAAACTGCGAGGACGACTGATATTTGAAAGAAAAAGATGAACCCCCTTTCACTCAATGACGGCAGTTTCAAAGCGACCATGACAACCAACACTGTAGTCAGAATCATCACAGCGAACGATATCAAAGCACATTTCCACTGAATATTTTGAATTACAGCGGCGTAGACCACAGACCATAATATGACCTGCATGAAGAAAGTAATAATAATAACAATAACTGACTAGTGACCATCTGATAAATAAAGGCGTGAAAAGCAAACAAAATACATTTCAAATGCAATATTTCCCACCTCAGTTTATTGTTGTCACCCACAGAAAATAAGAGTTTGTTTCACATGCAAGAAGCCTAGGTGTTTCACAGCGAAAATGAGACATTCCTCAGTTGTGTGCAAATGTCAATTCGAATGTGAGAACAAATTGAAACATGAGATCCAGTAAGCTGTGGAATTTTGTCAAATTGTCAATAACAAATACCTTCGTATTTTGAAAATTTTCTCATGAGTCACCCAGTCAGTGCAGTGAGAACGAAATATCACTGAGAAATATTAAAAAACCTCATGAATTTGTGATGAATTGGTTCGAAACCTAGTGTTATTAAAATCTGAATTAAGCAGGTGGGTGTTTCTGCCGTTTCAGCGAACGACGTATATGAAAATGGTTTTACTGTGATATATTCAGTAAGTGCCCAGTATGACTTCATGCAAACTGATGACTGAGATTCTTTTGTTGCACATGTCCCTCTACTAAATTGCCTCATCGAATTGAATACCGTTAAACATTGATTCCAGTTGTGCATGTTCAGATCATACGTAAATCTGAATAAATGTTTATTACTCTCACATCAACCTCATTGTTTTGCGAATCTGCAGTTGTCTATGGAGACAGTCCTCTTCCTCCTCACGCAATTATGGATGTGACGGTCATGGAGACGCAAATGGCATGTGTCAGAAACTGTAGAAGAAATCTCATTGGCAAGATAACCGTTGCCACTGACATTTTTCAAACAACACAGCGTTAATTTGATTATTCACTCAGAGTAATGCAAACAGTTATCGTTGTATATGGAACAACGTAATATTGATACTTACTATAATCCAAAGTAGTACACGGACACCGTAAAAATTCGAACGAATTTTCCCCATGAGCATAAGTAGAAGTAATAGGATAGAAACAACTGATCTAAAATGAATTCATAAATATCAGCAATTGATCTGAACCAGTAGATAATTAAAACAACACACTACAAGTTAAGTTCAATATAACTCATAGTACTGAAATCTCCTATTTGTTAAATAGATTTTCGATTTGCGAATATTGAGATCAATCTGAGATTTCATTCACAGATTAAATAATCGAGTTTGATCAATGTTACAGACTACAGTTGCATCATAACCAGCATTATATTTGATGCAGCACATAGTGAAACACTATTTTATTCACACTCTGATGAATTTTCTAGCACGGAGATGTAAAGTAGTTATTTGAAGACAGTCTTTCTGTATTTCTCAGTTGCATGGATGCATTTTCATGTAGCATCAAGATCTCTAGTAGTTAGAAGAAATTAATTTCCATGACAAAAAATGTCTGAGCAGCATTCGGTAAGCTAGACCTTAAAATAAAACGAAAAGCTTAGCAAATAGTGTCCTCAATTGACTTAATAGCAGTGAGCATGTGTTAAATAAAACAATGGCGTATTCGAACACCTTTTATCAGCAGTAAATCAAATAATTTGTGAGTCGGTGCCTCAGTGGTGAAAAGATCTCTGACCTAGGAATCATTTCCAAATTGATGCACTCTCTAACCTCGCCTGGTTTACTGGTATGTTTTAATCCTGGTAAAATTGAACGTTTCCTATTAGTCCAGAAACCACATCTCTTAGATAAATTAATAATGTCATTGAACTGTGAATGAATTAAATTTATCATTTATTGAAGGAACCATTTGTTCAATTATTCATCATTAAGATTTTAAAGAAAACTTACATAATGATTGTAACGGCATAGTAATTCATCGTGAAAATGCCGCGAATATTTGCTCTAAAATGCAAGGTAAGATTTTATTATCTCCTTTAATGCAGCCTTACTCAAGGGCAAACAACACGACAAGCCCGACTGTCATCAATGTCATGAGCACTGTGTTGATTAATAACTAATAATAAAATGACTTATTTGACACACCATGCTACTCTTACCGAAGTGGTATAGCTGGGAAGCGGTTTTCGTAATTCCTGACTCTTCATTTTCGGAAGGACACAGGAAGCAATTAAATTTACCATCATGAAATATTTCGAAATCTGTGAGCAAACGTAAAAATGACACCAAATGAAAAGAATGTCATGATAAGCGAATGAAGATGATGAATGCAGTTCGACGTAGGCCTTGTAAGGTTATATTTTCCAAATATGCAGCAGCAATATGATGCAAATAGGGTCAGTGATTTCGTGATCATATTTTTCACAAGGGAACGTTGGCAGGGAAATAAAATTACACGTTTGCAATTGTTTGTGATTTTCGCCCAGGAGGAATAATGCTTTAACAAATTATGAAACGTGATTATGAGTATTATTACGTCCTGAATAAACCAAAGCTATCGTGACAAAATAACACATGAAATTCAATTTTCATAATGAAGAAATAATTGAAAATTGGATAAATATCCACTATCAGTACATAAAACGTTGAAAGATAACCCACTGCATATAGACCAAAGAGTTTCACCATGAATGGCAGGTATATCCGTTATACGTCCATGAATAATGAGTTGAAATGTCGTGTTCTCTCCTATTTGATTAGGTACATGAAACCTACTACCAATCATTGAAATACACCTTCTTATGAACCAAAGTATTCATCAGGTGAAAAAAAACCAAAATAACATAACCAGAACCAACACCATCTACCCATCCATCTTTAAGTAAGCTCAAGAAATAACCAATTCAAACACAAACACCAGAGAGGATATAACAGTAGCTTACTCACCTAAAGTAACACTGGTTTCAGAAATATACGCATCAGAAAACATTCACGTTAATTCGCATATATATATATATAGCTAGGCGTTTTCGACGGTTATTGAAATCTATATTGAATATACTTAGTGATCATATTCCGTTCTATGTCTCAGTGTTATCACAGTTCATATGATATTTATTTTTTTCGAAATCATGAAATAATAAACATTAATTGTGAAGTTTGATACACATTCAAGTGAGATGTTGGCATACAACATAAAGTAATAATCAGCTAACTTGAATATTAAAGCGTTTTTTCTCAAGAAATTTATCATATTAGTGGCTCAAAGGTTTCATGTATTTCATATTTCATTTCACACAAAATATTTGTAATTCTAATATATTTAGATTTTCGAAAACGTGGTGAAAAAACTCAGAATTTCATCTTAGAGATTCAGAAAGATGTTGTGTAATCAAACTTCAGATGAAATAGAATAAAGGTTCATCTAAGCGTAAATTCAAACACACAGGATTATTATACAATATGGCACTAAATTACACGTAAATTTATTCTAAATAATCTACGAACCTTATATTGAGAAGTGTCTAGACTGTCTGCAGTCAAATGTACTGTCACTTTACATCAATAGTAAGCAAAAACTGTGTCAGCGTTTCCATGTTGTAGAAACAAACAAGAATATATGGGTGCAGGTAAACAGTGTTCAAAAGAAAGTGAAATATAAGGAAGAAAGAAGCAGGTAATAACGTTTAATTGTTAGAAGGTAATTCCCAAAAATCAGTTCAAAGGATTATTCATTAAATGATATAAATTTGAATAACGATTACGGATGCGGAGTCACGAATTATTTAACAAAATATAACTCTTCCTGCTTGTTACTGAAACTTAGTATGACATTGACAAAGATAACAGGTTGATAATTAACAAATTGCATAAGATGAATTCAAACTCAGAATGTTGATAGTACTTGCTCAGTGAGCTGATCGGAAAGAGGACAAATGGCTATGTTGGTTTTATTTTCAAATGATTTCATAGATATACATCCATTTTTGGTTTCAACTCTATGATAAGGAGGGATTTCTGTCCAGATTTCTGAGCTCGTCTAAAGGTGAGCAGGTCACAATGTCCAGATAACTCATGGATGAGGAGTACTTTAGTTAATTCGATTAAGATTTGACCAGACAGATTTGGCGTTTATTGAAAAATGGATAAATGTAGCTAACAAATTTGTATAAACAGGAGTGATATTAAAATTAAAACACTTTCAATTTTGTTTCTGATGATTGCTTAAACTTCTTCAACATTATGAACATGATAAAATCCCAAAACGAAAAATTAGCGGGACGTCACATCAGAACTCAAGCTCACTCACAAATCAGTTACAAAGATTCGTGGATTCGAAATTATTATAAGTAGTATTTTGCTATACACTGTAAAATGTTTGTGTCCAGGTCTTTATCTTGCTGTCTAACTTAATTGAATTTTTAGAATAAAGGTTAGTGGGAAGCAAGTGTGTGCTTATGCGAAACATTAAAATGTGTGTAGACGAAGAATGACGTATTAGTTTTCAGAATCTTCCGAATTGAAAGCATGATCATAATGTCATTTCCTGTCGGAAATCACAAAACCACACGCCGCTGATTAGTTGAGTTGTCTAGTCAAAAGTGATTTCTAGTCAGGTCGAGATGACCTAAACAGTGGAAATCAGTCTCTGATTTTAACAACAGACCTAAGAGTATAATTTGGTCATTGTGACAGTGCACAGTAACGATATTCCATTGGAAACAGAACATATTAATGCACTTATTCCTTCTCACTCACTGACGATGGTTTGAGTGGGAAGATATGAAGAAGTTTGTTAAAGACAATCGTTCTGCATCTCTCAAATGAAAGCATTCATATAAACATCTCTGTCAGTCTTCGATTTTAACAACAGACCAGACAGTCAAATTTGACCATTTGGAGAGGGCATAATAACAATATTACAAACACCCTATTGAAAGGAGAACGCAGTGATACACTGTTTTCTTCACATGCACTGACGATTGTTTCAGTATGATCAGAAGGAGACGTTTGCTAGAGATAATATTTTTGTATTTCTCAAATAAACGCATGTACACATATTTAAAATTAAATCTCTGTTAGTTGAAACAAGCACACTTTCATAACGAAAACTCTCTGAGCAGCATTTAATGGGGCAGATTTAAAACTGGAATGGAAAGCTTATCATTCAATGTATATGACATTCGTCTTCATCTCACGCAATATTAGTGAAGATAAGATCAAAAAGATATTTCTGTGGGCGAAGATGTCTAATGAACAGTAAATAGTAAGTATTTTGAGCCGGTTGCAAATGCCCAGCAACCAAGCAAGTTTTCCTGGTATTCCATGTCCAATCAACGTACTCATTAACGTCGTCTATTTTAATAGCCAATAGCGAGAGTGGGATGAAGGAATGTTGTGTATGAGGCCAGCAAGTGTATCCCTTATAAAACAACACGAATAACACTAAAACTGTATGGCCTCAAAACTGAAGTCGAATGATTCAGTCGAATCATAAGACAAAATTATCTCTTAACCAGTAAACAATACCAGAATCATAGAGATAGCTGCTTATATAGCACATGTTCAGACATTTTGAGGAAATAATAATTTGCTTTATTCCAAAACAGTACTTGTGATACAGAACGGAATTCTCAGCATTTTTCTACAGTATTGCATCCAGTTAGTACATTATCAATAAATAGAATTCTAAATAGATTGAGGAGACCACAGGTCATTATTACAACAATAAATTGTCATGTCATTAGCAAAAGTAAGGCTGAAACAATGTTTGAAGGTGTTAGAAAAGTGGGAGCTGTCTTATTAACTGGCGTAAGCGAGAGAAAGAAACAAAGCAGCACATAACGGAAAAAGAAGAGAGAGAAAATGAAAAGTAAGAAAGAAAATGTTGTACCTATTGATGATGTAAGTCGGAAAGACGAGATCCAGTTGTTTTGTGGACTATTTAATGAATTATAGGTGTCACGCCTAATGCTTTCTTTATCACACAGAACACGAGCTAAGTAGGGTATGGTTGAGTTTTTGTACTTGCTGGTGCGAGCATATAGTTCTCTATATTGGCTTCTGGTTTTACCTGATGAGATGCAGGGGGAGAGTTGTGAGTGAAGAGGTTGGTGTGAGATAGATAAAATGGACTTGGCCCATTTTTCACATGAGTCCATGTGCCTGTCAACCAGGATATTAACAAGCTGGTTAAGTGGCACGTTGCTTACCCTGCTGACAACATTTAACACCCTGCGTAATATGTTATAGTCTTTCTTCAGTAGCCCGGGAAAAACTAAGGGGGAACAGTAGAGGATAATAGGCAGGATGCGAGAATTAACGAATTGTAGGAGTAAGGGTTGGGTAATACCGGAATGTTTTAACTTCTTAATGTAGCAGGTAAGACGGAATATTTTCTTAGAAATTGCTAATATATGAGACGACCAGGAGAGATCAGCAGATAGAATGACACCTAGTTATTTAATTTCCGTTTATGTTGCATACCTCGTGAGAGCCAAACAGTTTGTTTAGGTCGGATTTATACCTAAAGGTGAAATTGACTGTTTGGCATTTGGAGGGGTTAAGGGTAAGACCATTTTCCTTGGACCACTGGGTGATTTTTGACAGAAAGCCGTGGAGTTTAGAGCAGTGGTTTTGACATTTGATAGGCAAAGATACAGACAGATCGTCAGCATATTTGACAAAATTAATGTCCTTTGAAGATGGTGAGTCATGTAGAAAGAAAGAAAAGAGAAGTGGTGAGAGTACAGCGCCTTGAGGGACACCGGCTTCAGTGAGTACAGCAGAGGATGATTTACCTTTGTATACGGTGTACTGCATTCTGTTAGAGAAGTAGGAATGCAACCAGTTAGTGACCCAGGACTCAGTTTTTGTCAAAGAGAGCTTATTTAGCAGGAGACATCTAGGTACAGAGTCAAAAGCAGAAGTCGAGAAACGTGCAGCGGACGTATTTTGCACCTTTATCTAATGATGAGAAGATGTTGTTGTGTAAGACAGCTGCAGCGTCTAATGTACTCCTACCCTGTCTATAGTCAAATTGTTTTGGGTCTTCGAAGTTTTTAAGGGAGGGTTCAATTTTAAGAAGTATAAGATTTCCATAAGCTTTAGAAACGGAGAAGTGATGGCAATAGGTCTGAACTTTACGTTCTTGCCGTTTCCAGGTTTACGGACAGGGACAATTTTGATGTCTTTCCATGCATCAGGTATGATATTTTTGGAAAAAGAAGCATTTAGGATGTTGGTTAGTGGAGAACACAACACATCTGCACATTGTTTTAGAACATATGCAGGTATACCATCAGGACCAAGGCTACGTGAGGGCTTGAGCGTTTTAAGACATTTTAGAACATCGAGAGTATTAAAGTCATGAAAGTTTTCAGCTACATGATAGGTAACATTAGAAGTAGTTAAAGTAGAAGGACAGCGTATAAAAGACTGATTAAGAGCATTAACATCATAAGAGGGAAAAGCATTACAAAGCTTACTATTACCAGTAATTTCATTAAATGTTTCCACATGCTGATTGGAGATTTACATGATGAAAGTGTATCATTATAGATAGCATTAAGATTTTTGATTTCAGATTTGATCTGAGCATTAATCTTTTGAGTCCTGACTTGTCTTTGGATTTGTATAAAGTTTCTTTTTTCCTGCGAGGTTGTTTGAGATAAGGAGATGAGAAGCGGTCGAGGCGTTTGAATAGTGTTTGTTTGGGACAGCATATGTCAAGGCAAAACTTAAGATAATCCGTTATATTGACAATTGTGTCATTTAAAGAACTTTCATGGAATAAATCCAAGTTAGTATGTTGTAACATGCACCTTAGATTGAGTAAGTTTTCGGATGAGTAGCATCTTTGTTGTGCTTTCATAGACAGATGCGAGAAGACTTTAATATGTGTTTTGCTGTATATTTTAGGTAGAACACGAATAATCAATAGATAGATTGAATGCTGTCAAATGAATTCAATGCGAATTTATTTCTTTAGGATAACTGACCTCAGTCACAATGGTTATTGTAACGTAACAGTTCAAAACATAAAAAAAGGTATTGTATAGGTAATGAATTAAACGTCTTATCTATTTGAAGAACAATTGATTTATTGAAAAAAATAATGTTCAATAGATAATCAACATCATAATATACAGCAGGTAGACTTGTCCCATGAAAAACTTCACGATGCCTGCGAAGCAAGATAAGATTTTATTAACCTTCTTAATTCAAACTTACACAGTGGTAAACAAGGCGACCAAACTGACAGTGACCTCACATCATAATAATGGTCATCATGGTAACACAGTGTCATATTCGAAAGGCTATAGAAATGAATTTTACTTTGGAGTCATAAACTTATGATGACTGTAAATGAGCCAAAGCGAACTTTTGTAAACATGAATTTTTCAAATGGAAATTAAACGTAATGCGAATGGATTCTTATTGTAAAATGAAACTTGAGTTTCAATGAATTGGTATTCCTATTCCTACCAAAATAATCCCCATTATTGCTTTTTAAGAATAATAATAATTTGAGTTAATATCGGCCTACCTTGTACTGAATCTGATCATGTTCTGTTGGTGATTATTAATCACTACAAAAATATTAGTAAGCGTGATGTGGTTCAGTTATGGGAAGCTTGCTAACAAATACGTGGCTGACGCACACATGAATCTCATTTAACAGGAGAGTAAGACCAGAGAAGTGGATAATCAGGGAATGAAGCTACTAACTTCCCCCTGTATAAGAAAAACGTCACTACTGTATGGTAATCAAACCTCAAAAATTATAGCGTGGTGTTCTTCTCGGAACGCAAAAGAATACAATCCTAATTACTAATAAGTTTGGAACAGAAATATCAAGATTCATTATGAATGACATCGACCTCAATGCATTTATGTGTATATTTATTTCACTAACGCAGTATTCCAATGCGCGATTAATTTTTCTTCCAAATACATAGCACGGAAATGGGGTAACGACGATTGAAGTGGGGAAATGGGTAACTATCTAAGTAATTATCTCACAATAAGTGGCTCAGAACCCTGCATCGTCGCTCCCTTTATGCATACTCTGTAGGCACCCCAAAGGAGAATGAAGAAAATTCTCCAGATCTCTCTTGCTTAACGGTAACATTTTTCAGATATTTACACATCATGTTATGACTGCTTTGAGCAGTGATTCTCAAGTTGTTTTTTGTCATATTTCAAAAGAAATCTCTATGGTTTCACAACGATGACGGAGTTGTTTCATTCCAACAATCAGTCAATTTATTCTCCAAGTCATAAAATAAATGACGTTATTTGCTTCAGTCGGTGTGTGAGTAACAGACAGGTGATCTAAACTCTCTTCATCTGGGATGTTTGCGTGAATATCAGGTTTATGGGCGTTGTTGTATACCTGAATATGTTTTCACTTTCCTAAGTATTCTTTTCAGATTGTTTGTCAAGTTGACTATGCAACACTCTGTTTGGTGTTTGTCTGTTTGTGGAAATAAGATATTTAGCTATGAAGGAATGTGTTGTATGGTTTGTATTCTCTGGGAAGCACATTATTGCTTATTGATGTAGTTGACTGTGAGCTTTCTTAGATTTCATTGTCATCGGTGTGGTATTGCTGCTTCACCCATCCGTTCATTGGTGGAATCTTGGCTGTATAATTTGATTGGTTGCCTTTCTGAATTCTATGCAGAATAATGTTATGTCGGCATCACGGCTGTTAGGACGCTCGCCGACCACGCACAGAAATACAGATTCCCTACATCATCTGTGTAATTAAGTTGGACTTCACAATCTCTCTACTGTTTCTTTTTACTGAAAGAAAGCTATTTTGGTGGTCTACTGATCAGCCTGCATTGGTCGTTCAGAAGTGTTTCATCATCCTGTACTTACGCTCTTCATGAGTTGTTGAAACCAAATTTATAATCAAGGCAACACATATTATTACTAAAATAAACACTCAACACACCTCACTGTCGAGCTTAGTTCATTAAAAATGCTGATTGACTGAGATCCCTTAGTATTTTCTCAACATATTAGACGGTAATTCTAATGATATTTCTCATGGTATGGATTCAAAAATGCGCACTCCTTTACCATGGAATCATCTTTACAAACTGACAGGCCGTTTGTTTTGCTGAGATTTAGAAATTGGTTTTTACATTTTGCGTGTTTCATCAGAAGAAATTTTGAAATATGCATCATTTTAGCACACAAACATCTGAAAAATAATCAGAAATGGACGCAGATTCTTTGGTGATAATTTCGTTTATATTTGTGCATTTAATGTTCACGATATTACGTTATTCAATGTACAAAACAGGTCAACACATGTGAAATCGAAAGCATACTTAGTTATGAATAACTGGAAATTTGGGCACAATAACAAAACGATGACGCATGCTCAACGAAAATAATTTGACAAGCAATCAACAAATAAGTGTTATTTAGACATCTTACAAAATCCGGCCACACATGATGTTAGGCTGGAATAAATTTGTGCGAATAGGCTTATCATGTGAAACCAAATGACGAAAGCAAGAATAAAACCCATGGAATTGGGCGTGAACCACCACATTATCCACGTTCGGATATTGACAAAAATAAACATCACCTAAATTGTGAAGAAGCAAAACAAATTCAGAAACAAATGACTACTTTATATGTGCATACATTTTACGAGAAAACTCGAATTTCATTGTGAGAAAATCTGTTGACTTTGGTGATTGCGATGTCAGTTAAATAAAGTGAAGTCTAGGCGCCTCAACTGCTGTTGAATCATTCAGAAATTCACTATCAGCTTCTGTGTTATGCTTGATATGATCTCTTTTAGACTTACGTCAGAACTTAACAGAAACTGTGGCTGAAATACAGTCACTTCTCGAATAATTTATTTTTGTCGCATATTTCTGGAAAGTATGCTTCTGATAACAGCTTGTGCTTCGTTTTGACAGACATTTCCAGACTACTTACTTACTGTGATCTTTTTCATTTATCGTATTTGACAGATAGTCACTAACAGAATTTCCAGAACATTATGTTTGCACCACTTGCTATATTAAAGCGACTCTGATGGATAGCCGCTCAAAACAAACATGCATACTTTGTTGCAGTTGTTGTGATGGTAAGATTTTGCATGAGGTTTTCGCCTGATGTATGTTTGGTTGGAATATATCATTATCTGTCTTTATGGTTGAGGAAACTCGTGTATATGTTGAAATCATCAGTCATCCTTAAGCAATCAATTTGGTTGAGTGGCTACTTTCTGAAGGATGCTTCCTCGTCTCAATCAAACAGTTTCACGTGGTATTATCAAAGTCGATATTCTCCATCAAACGTATGTTACATGTATTAGTAATAGAAATCTTGTTGAAATTTATCAGTAAACGTATTTATACACCATCCAAGAACAGTAGGAATCAGAAGAATTCAGAATCACTGTCTAATGTAAATGACAGTGACTGGCGGAAATCTCTTATTACCAAAATCTAATTAGCTCTTTCACCTACAGCATTCAGGAAAATCACAAAAGGGTATTAAGCTTAGTGATAATATCTCACAGATTCTGATTCACAAATTCCGAAATTGCTCTGACCGAGTGCTTAGCATCTTTTGCAGCTTAATTCGACTATCAGTTGGCATTTTGTAACAAAGTGCAAATTTCATATGAACTGTGATCAAGATTTGACCGGATAGTTGCAAAATAATTGAGCGCTGAGTGAGAAAATATATCTCAGCGAATTTATTTAATATGAAAATATAACCATTGATTTACGCTACATACTGGTGATATCCCGCACTTGATGTGCTGTAAGCAAATTAACGGTAAAATTGAATTGTAGTGAATACACTGATTTAATGAAACACTTACCAGGAGTAAGAATAACGCAAATGGAACAGCTAGCAGTATGCAGAATATCGAACTCTAAGAAATGCAGAAACAAAGTGGCATATTCACAAAGAGAAAGACAAGATTTGTTGCTGCATGTAAATTATTATAACAGCAAATATAAATCGAAGTAAACACTGCTGACATGTTAACATTGATAATAATTAAAGCACACAAAACGTTTTCCGTCGGACACAGTGACGACAAATTAAACTGTATCTGAACTAATTAGCATCGTTTTGAATCGGAGCTGTATAAGTTTTACCAAAATTGCAGTGATGGCAGTAGAAGGTATAAATGCCGGAAGGTGCATGAATGTCACTCAACGTACTTTACAAATATTACTAGGCTCTTATATGAATCCTCTTCTAATCATTAACACCCAGTGGATAACCAGATACTTAGAGTGAGAACAACGTTCCTTTGATGAGTGTGTCATCTATCAAATTTCACTGGTGAGTTGAAAATTTCTCACAAAACGAATCCTTCAGATTTCAAACATGTGCTGAAGAAATCGAATGTTAGTAAAGTAAACAGCTCATGTGTCTGATTTATTTTGCTCGGCCGATATTTCATTGTCTATTACACTTGGCGTTATTACGAAAGAAATCATAAGCAACAGGACACTTTAAAATGACGTTGAGATATAATCCCATTTCATAATTATAATACATAAATTAATGTAACTTACCGTTTTTAGTTCAGATATCAAGTGATAACAGATGGTTAAAACAGCAGCTGAAACCCCAAGGACGGCTGATACTGACAAAAATAAGATGAACCCCTTTACACTCAATGGTGGTAGTCTCATAGCCACCAAGACCACCCCAGCTGTAACCGTTATTGTCACGGCAAACGATATCAAAGCACATTTCCAATCAGTTGGTGAGAACACAGCAGCAAAGATCACAGACCATAATATAACCTATATCAAGAAAGCAATAGCAGTGATAATTAAGTAATTATTATCTGATATGTAAAGGCGTACTGAGAAAATTAGGCACATGTCAAATGCAACATTCACCTCATCGCTTTTCATGTGTGCGCGATGTTGCTGTCACCATCGCGAAATGAAAAAAATAACTATTTGTTTCACGATTAAGCATTCTACGTGTTGGACGGTGCAAGTGAGTCATTCCTCAGTTGTGCACACTATTATTTCGAATGAAATAGTTAGACTGAAGTAATAAATTCAGTGAGTTGTGGAGTTTTGTAATATTGTAGATAACGATTACTATTGTAAATTGGGAATGAATGCTTGAGTCAGCCTGTCAGTGCCCTTAGAACAGAATAGCACTGTGAAATATTAAATAACCTGATGAATTTATGATGAAGTGAAATGAAACCGAGTGACATTTAAATCTGAATTCAGTAGTATCACTAGAGACTGTTCAGGAATTATTCACTTTGCTTTTATTAAATTACTTCAGTGAATTGGATATCGTTATAGGTTTTTCCCAGTTTCGCATAAGGTTTTCAACATTCAGGCCATTCATACATTTCGACTAGTGTCTATTATGCTTGTATCAGCTCTATATGTTCATGAATTAACAAGAGTCTACGAAGATGATTTCCTTCTTCCCCACATATTTTCTCATAATTTTGTATTTTGTTATGGTTCCCATTGAATGATGGAAATGGCATGCGTCAGAAAAAGTAGAAGTAATCTCACTGACAAGATAACCACTGCTATAGACATTTTTGAAATGACACAGCAGTCATTTTATTTACCACAAAAAAATAATGACGATTCTCATGGTTTTATAAGGGGTAATGTGATACTGATACTTACCATAATCCAAAGTACTATTGGAACAGCGTAGAAATTCGATCGAATTTTTCCCACTAATGCAATTAGAAGTAATAGAATGATGGCGACAGACCTAAAATGAATTCGGAAACATTCAAAACTCGTTTTAACCGGCAAATAATTGAAATGACTCATCACATAATAACCCCTGTATAAAATATAGTAATGCCATCTGATACTTGGTAAATGGAACGTTCTACACGCGATCCATGCCTAATGGGATAGATCCTTTAATTTATTCACATTTATCGATAGCAAATTTGATTACTGTTATAGAGCATATTTATATCATCAAAAACATTATATTTGAAACAGAAGATAGTCATACTCCATTTTCTTTACGCGCACGGCTGATTGTCCTAGCATGAAGATCTGATGAAGTTTGGTAAAGATAACCTTCCGGTATTTACCAATTACATGCATGCATACATATTTCAAATCCTGATTTATGGTGTTCAGGACAAATTTGCTGTCATGACAAAAACTGTTCTACGAGCATACGTCAGTGTAGATTTCAAAATCAAATAATAACTTTATGATATAATATACATAAACACCGTCCTCATTTCACACAACAGTGGTGATACGCGAGTTAAACAAACCAACTGTATTGTCGAACACTTTTTATGAGCAGCAAATAGTAGGTCTTGTTAGCCGGGTTTGAAATGCTCATCAAACAAGTAAGTGTTCTGGTATTCAATTCGTCATCAACTTACTCCTTAACCTTGCCTAGTTTAACAGCTAGTAGTAAGCGTGAGGACAATGAGTGTTGTGCATGAGGCAAGAAAATTCATTACTTAGAAGATAACACGAATGCTAATGAAGTCTCAGGGCTTCAAACTTGCAGTCTAAGATTTCAGTCGGAATACAAGGAACGGAGGAAACAGTTACTCTACAGCAGTAAACAATACAAGAGTCAAAAAGAGAAGTTACTTATTCATTATCCGTTCAGATATTTTGGCATAACTAATTAATGGATTGTTATTTTATTATTTATTTATGTTTTATCATAGCTTGATTGCACACAGTATTTTTGTGCAAGTATGGAATTCTCAACATAAGATGTCCATAGCCTAATTTTATCTGGTCGATCATTGATATCAGCTTTGCCTCGGTTTGAGATTGAATCCCGAACGATGTCCATGATCGAAGATCATCAAGTCAAAGTGTCAACAACGCATTGGGTGAGAAATCCATTGTTTAGAGGTTCTTTCAAGCAAAGTAATCAAATGATAAACCCTATGAAATCCAGTGAAATGAAGATTTTGTGAATTCATCTCCTAAGGCTTATTCATCTTAATCAAGGAGGTTATCGGCATGTAACAGATTAAACATGGAGAATGACAGTGTACTATAAATGAATTACACTCGTCATCTATTAGACGAATAATTAATTCAATGAATAAATAATAATGTTCAATGGATAACTAACATCATAATATACACCAGATAGACACGTTCCTTGAAAAACTTTGGAATATTTGACCTGCAAAGCAAGATGAGATTTTATTATCTCCTTTAATCCATTCTTACACTGCAGTAAACAAAACGACCAAACCGACAGTGACAGCCACCATGAGCGTAATATTGATTAGGAGCTAAGAATATTTAAGCTTATTCCACGTATCCTGCTAATCTTACCAAAATATAGTTGGCAGAAGTGAGATTTTGTGTTTTCTGACTCTTAATCTTCGGATTCACATAAGGTGTAATGTAACCTATCATCACGGTTTGCACTGAAGTCTGTGAATAAATTTTGAAAAGACAACAGAATTAAAACAATCTTCATGATATGCGATTAGTGTTGACGAACTTAAGGCTCGTAAGATTAAATTTTAAAATATTTAAAACACTGTTATTCATAAGTGAACCTGATCATATTTCCGAAATAATGTTTCTCAGAACTGTGAACTGATGGTTCGATTAAATTCGTTATTTACGCTTGTTTGTAGATTTCGACAAAGAGAAATTTATCATGATATGGTGAAATACACCTAAATAATCTGTGAAACCTGAATAAAACTTTGAAGATATTTTGGATACATGAAAGTATTCATGACAAACTAACACAACTTAATGCATTTTCTAAAAGAGTGAGTTAATTTCCATTCGGTGGAATATGATGTGTGAATCGCTAAGGCTTTAAACGAGGACGCGTTGCTACAAGATTAGGGATTTGAAATGTGAACAACCGTTTCGTCAATAATGAGCTACTGTAGAGTGAGTTTAGATGACATCCAGCCATTACAGCTATTTGCTTCATTCATACTACTAACTAAAATTTAATGAAACATAATTTCTGTTTTCTTCGTAACAAAAGTGTTGAACATTTAACTGGAAAAAATGAACTCGATAAAACTGTGAGTAAAATTCATGATGCTGTATCATCAAACGACTGCTTCAACAATCTGGGAGAGACCAGTCGACCTCTATCGACAATTGAAACTGAATATATTAATTTGGAGTGTGTTTGTAGAAATGAACGTATTGGTAGCACGGAAGGTTGATTTTCTGCTCATATGATAGAGAATTTGCAAAAGTGGCCAAAAAGAGTTGAAGTCATCGTACCAAAAATATCAATAACGAGACAGCTTATATACTGTGGACATGAAAGTGATGCTGTCCTGTCATTCACTATTGTCAACCTACAAACAACAGACAGGAAGATGGTGGCATTTGTTGAGGCATGTTCACTCAGAATTTATAAATCAGGTCTCTGTGTAGAGAAGGCGATGGTATTCACGCTTGATCAACCATGGTGAAATGTTTTACTTATCAACAAAAATTATTTTACTGATAATAATTTATTTTATTCTACCTGTTATTATTATCATTTCTGATTCATTTGAAAATATCTCTATCAGTAGCATTATCTTGACTGGTTTTAACATTATCATTATTATTATTACCAATAACATCATTATCGATATTATTCAGTTTCCAATTCTCGATATATTCAAGTTCTTTCTCTGATGACTTATTGTTCATTTGTATGATGTAGCTGAGTTGTTAGTGATTATCAGCCTAATTTCAATTTTGAAACTCTCTTTTACTTGTCTATATGAACATGGTCTGGAAGACAATCACACCTTGGTTTTTGCATGATTGGTTCAATGGAGTTCACTCAAATATCAGTCTTAGATCTCCCAACGTAATTCTGATGGTGTAAATGTCTCTGTGTTTCAAATATTTACCTGAATATTTTTACTGCTAGCTGATGGAGTCAATAGATCCCAGCTTAATAACGTCTGTCGCTTGTCTTAAATGGAATAAAGCCTGTTAGCTGTGGTTAACAATAAAATGTAATCGATAGCATCTATTCATTCATGTTCAAGTTAACTCAAGAATAAATTGATTCAAACATAACTAGCAGAGAGAACATGACAAGAGTTCACTCACCTGAAGTAACTCTTGTCTTCTGATGTGTGCGTATTCGAAAACATTCGCGTTGTTTCGTATATATAAATATATATTATTTGACTTTGTTCACGTTAAATGAAGTCATTATTGAGCATGCAAAGAGATCAAATTCTCTTTTGAATCTCAACGTTATTCGTGAATTTTTTATACACATTAAAGTGTCGATATGGATCACAACATCATAAACAGGTAGTTAAATTATTGGAAATTTTTTTCAAACGAGTATAGGCTATCGATAGCTCAAAGGTTTACAGAGTACAAAGATAACTTCAAATCGAACAACTTATTTGTAAGTTTCATATATTTGGATTTCCTGATTCAACCAAAAATTGGTGTGAAAAATAAAATTGTAGATTTCTTTGAAGAAATCCGTTATGACCATTTCTATTCAACTTTCCGACTGATAAAACCGAATGTCTGAGTTGCGCGTAAAATCGAGATAACAGGATTTACTAAACTATTGAACAATAATTTAATAGATAGAATTTAGGAAGCTCACAATGTGAAGTGTTTGTATTGTGCATCCTCAAATGCACTTTCAGTATGAGTGAACATTGAAAAACTCACAACGCTGTGAAAGGTAATTCCAGTTGGAGAATAAACAACACTCAACTATTCAGGGCAAGAAAAAATGGATTAGAATACAAAATATGCAACAGAGAATGCCACATTATGAAGCAATATGTAGCAAACACATCATGTGAGATGAATTTATTCGAAAACTGTAGTTACACAAGCGAAGTAACGACACAGTAAAGAAATATATCTCGTCATTATTGTTGTTAATAAGACGTATAATGGTACTCTAAGTGAAAAGTTGTTAAGGAATCGGCAAGAAAGAAGTCAATAACAACAACCATGCAACAGAAAGAGAAATCATGTTTCTCAAGGAATAGCCACAATGTGCATATATCTGGGTAAATCTAGTAGAAAAAATTCTTCCTCATGGTTTGATTCTCTACAGTCAACATTTGTCTCCATTTTCAATCACAGAGTATCTAATTAAATCGATCTGTTCACGACATAACTGTGTCAAAGCTACTTTTGATGGAATAAACGTCAAGTAAACTGACATACTCTATGTCTCAAAGACGAGTTAATTTCTTCGTTTATGTAGATCAAATGAGAACAAAATTTCAATTGGTCTATTTGGAATCTGGTGAATTTCATGAGTGAACTCAATAATTCCTAACGAAAACGATCAGTCAAAATTCATACGTGTTGCGGGAAACTTAGATGCCAATAAAGTAAGCAGCTCACATATCTGATGCAGTTAGCAAAAGTGTGAAGGTGCTCTCGGAACATCCAACAACATGAAGAATTTGCAGATCTTGATAGAACCCTGCATGTTCATTAGATACCTGGTGATTTTTCTTTGTGAATATCTTTCTCCATTTCTGCATGTTACTAAAACAGAAAAGATACCCTCATGACGTATCTCCTACCGAAAATGCAAGTAAATTTATAAATTCAGATGGTCGGAAAGCTAGCTATCCAGTTCAGCCTGGTCAATCTATTAGGCGCATGAACATCCATTTACAATCAGCCATCTCGGTGTACCTTAATTAAACCAACCTGAAGCTTCATTTATCTCCGTAGAAAAAGCCTAAACAAAAGTAAAATAAAAGTGAGATCATGAGAGTTATAGTTATTTCCCTTTGTCTTTTTCAAAAGTGGTGGAATTTTCTTGAAAACTGGAACTCAAACAATTATTCTCTTTTTTTTCTGATTCAGGAAAGAAGATTTAACAGCCATCACTCCTACGCATACTTCTAACTCCATGACGTTTGATCTACGAGACCATGCAGTTCATTTCACTTAGTTTGTATCAACGAAATATTCGAAATCTGCATTTATTACGACATTTAGAGACGTTTCAGAAATTTAGCTCAAATAAGGTCTCACAAATAAGGCGAGATAATATTATTTGATTGTTTCTTTACAATCGCTTCACAACTACCATGGATAAAAATAACAAATCTTTGATAGATGCTTAGTTATAAAAACCAAAAACGTATACTGATGACCAACCATAACTTCGTAGGTCGTGTAGTCCATACTGTATCTCACTATCTTCTGATGCAAAAAATTAAAATAATCGCTAAGCATCTAGCCAAACCATGCAAACTGTGCCTCACATACTTTGGCTGGTAGTCACAATTAATAATGTTTTGAATGAACAAATAGTACAATATAGTGGATAAGATGTGAATGAATTAGCGGAGAGAAACAAAGATATTAATAATAGGGATAAAACTATGATATCTTTGGTTATGAAATCTTTATTCACAAATGTAATAATACACTACATATATGAACAAGTGAACATCAAGTCAGTAAATATTGGGATTCCAGTTGAAATCTTCAAAGAGGTATTACCAAGGTGTACTATAAAAGTGAACTGTACATTTCATGGCACCCTCAACAGTCAAGTCGACAGGGTGGCAGTGGGTTACCGCTGAGTCCCACATGAGAAGATTTCTTCTTACGTGAAAAAGAAAATAGTCTTTTGAATGTTATTATCAGAAAACTCTTATTGTGTTGCCGTTATATGGATGACACATCTATCCCCTGTTAAAATGGCTTTGATAGATTCACAGTAGTAATTCATTTCAATAAAGTCAGTCCAACCACTATTTTTATTTGTGAGGAAGAATTCCAAAGAAGAATTGCATGCCTAATGTCTTTCTCATAAGAAAATCAGGTGACAGTAGAAGGAGAAACTTGCATAGGTAAAGTACATAGAAAATAAATAAACACATTTGGACAACTTTGTTCTTCTCCGGTATAAAAGAAATTTAATAAGGACCCACAGAAACAGGGTCATAACTATATGCTCAAAAGAAGTAAATGAAGATGAACTTAGGATAGTAAATAGCACCTTAAATGAAAATAGCTATCTAGAAAGGTTCATCAGGAAACACATGGCCAAGAAAGCAGGAAAACTGTCCTCCATCTTTAAATAAGGCTTTCAACCCCTAAAATTTTTTATAATGTATTCATGCGTTTGTTAAAACTAGACATTCTCGTTTCCTCTATGGTTGGTTGGACTGGCTGTTTAAGAACTGTGCAGACCAGTTCTACGTACATATCTGTAGATTATAGAACCTTTTTAGAATATTGGAATTCAATCTTGAATTTCGAAGCCTCAGGATAAGTTTTTTCACCGCTTACGCGGCGCGACTATTAGTATTTCGTCCGAATTTCTGTCTGTACTTTGATCGCCATTGGCTGAATGATATTTAGGATCATGTTAACCAGTGAAAGCATCTGGGGCTGGTATGTGATTGGTTAGTATGCTGTGGGCGCTGAATCACCGACACACTCTATTAGGATATTTATACATATTATATATATATATTATGTGACGAATTTTCACTGAAATATGTGGGAAACAGCTTTAGGATGGATGTTATTTTCAACTTGATTTTCCAAGATGTATGCACATGATGGCATTCGTTTGAGAGGGATGAATTCATCTTTTCTCATATATTCCTTATCAACTTGTATTTGTGTCAAAATCATTCTACTTCTCAATAATAAGCAGTATGAGTTATATTTTGTTGAAAACGTCGTAACTCCATATCCATAATTATCGTTCATTATTCAGATTTATGTCATTTATGTACAAACACTTAAACTGATTTTTGGGATCGACCTCGAACAATCAAATGCTATTTCCTGCCAGTTACTTTTTTATATTCCACTGTTATTTGAACGTTGTTTCTCTGGGTCCCTTTACTCTTTTGTCTGCGTTCCTTCTTCGTTTTTTTCTAAAAAGTATAATCCTTCACGTAGGACTGCATCCTTTTGATGAGCAGTAACAGTGCATTTGACTGTAAACAGTGTAGATACTGCGTAATATTATGTTCGTAGGTTATTTAGAATCAATTTACGTGTAATATAGTGCCATATTGTATAATAATCCTGTGTCTTTGAATTTAAGCGTAAAAAAACCTTTGTTCTATTTCATCCAAAGTTTGATTACAAAATGGTAGAGATTTAACAGAAGCTAATTGTATCACTGATCACGAAGGATACTTGCAACCACGGGTATTTGAAACGGATAAAGACCTCAAAACAGGTGAGAATCGGAAGGGCGAGATGCGTCGTCACTAACGTGTAAGCAGTTTGGAAATCTTCTGCACTCAGCCATCATGAACAACAATATTGGGATTTCTAACACATATGTGAAGTCAGTCAGTGAGCTCCTCTATAAGGTTCAGAAGCTAGTATTGTGTGTTACGAAAAACATCTCAAAGAAGTTACAGACCTTCATCAATAGCTGCCTTCGCTGGCTCCATACTGAAGATCGAATGTCTGCCCAGAAATTATAAGTAACAAGGAGCTCTGGAACCCATTAAGTCAAAGCCGATCGCTGATAAAATTTGTAGGGGGAAATGGAGGTAGATTTGGCATGGTTTACGGAAGCAATCGAATGACATTGCGCACCAGGCCCTCGAGTGTTTTTCAAATGGGAAATAACAAGTGTATCGTCCTATGACAAGGGTGAGAATAAGTGAGTAGGAGGAGGAGATGACAGATTATGAACAATCGTTGACCCAGCTGAGTGTGATGGCAGAAAATGCAACAAAGTGAAGATATGTTGCTGAAGCCCTTGTAACCTAAAGAAATAATAACGATCATAGTTGAACTGAATGTATTTACTGCAGCTCATCAGTGAATGTGTCACTAGTGCGAATTTTAGTGAGTTTTTCAAAACAGGCAATCCAATATGGAAGCTTTCCATCGGATAGGAACAAAACTGCTGAAACGAAAGTATTGACCCCATCAGGCGTTCTTGTGGAATATGGATATCACCTCGCAATATTTGTTTCACTATTGCTTTCCTAAATTTCACATACGTCTTTGGGATTAGTTAGACTGGCCTTTCACCATTTGCCTTAATCATAACTACGTGGCCCATCTGTTGACAAACCGACTACATTTTACTCGATAATTGCACATTTCTTACGATCCAAACGAACTTTGCCTATACACAA